TAATTGTTTAACCAGTATTTTGCACGGTCAAAAATCAAACGTTAAATCAAATAATAAACCAAATAGCCCAAACCAAGCACCTAAAACCAGTATTATTCTACGTCAAACATCAAACCTCAAATCAAATATTAAACCGAATTGTTTCGACACAACTATTCAAAAGCAGTATTATGCTTTTTCAAGCACCAAACGTTATATTTCAAATATATCAGTTCAAACGTTTTAGTTCAGTCACACAATTCATAACTAGCTTTATGTTCCCAATTGTTTTTAACGGGTTATATGGTTTAAGCAACCACAAATCCAACAGTTATTCCCAAATTATACCGTTTGGACAGCCACAGACGTGTTAATATACAGGTTTATTATTTTTTAATAACACCTATTCACTATTTTATTTCGTCTGTGATCATTCGCGCACTCATGCATACAACACCCAGTGTCCCCCTGACTCTATCCGTATCTAGCCTTTTGATACGTGTCAGTAGCGTAACACTATCTAAAATTTAAGTGGCCATTGTGATCCTAGCCATATCTTCAGTGGATATGTGCCACAACGTTACACTTTAATCAATTAATCCCTGTATCTCACGGTTCCACCATTTGTGGTCCAGAGACTTCAGTATTTTCTCAGAACCTAGCCATATCTCTTCTGGATATGTGTCAAAGAAACAATACTCAACTAAATTTTTGGCGTTCCTCTGATCCTAGCCATATCTCTGATGGATATGTGTCAGCAGTCAACGCCCTTAGCCAATAATTCCCTGTATCTCACAGTTCTCACCCCTGGTGATCCTAGCCTGGAGACTTCAGTATTTTCCTCAGAACCTAGCCATATCTCTTCTGGATATGTGTCAGAGAAACAATACTCAACTAAAATTTTGGCGCTCCTCTAATCCTAGCCATATCTCTGATGGATATGTGTCAGCAGTCAACGCCCTTAGCCAATAATTCCCTGTATCTCACAGTTCTCACCCCTGGTGATCCTAGCCTGGAGACTTCAGTATTTTCCTCAGAACCTAGCCATATCTCTTCTGGATATGTGTCAAAGAAACAATACTCTACGGTACCAATGTTTTAACATCACATCTACCAAAGGCTTGCATGTCACAATATTGTGCTTGTCTACTCATAATAGTTTCATAATTTAGTTCACTTACATCAGACAGGTGTTCACAAAATTAATTTGGATAAAGCCAATGTGCAGATCTTTGGTTATTTAACAACAGGTATCTGCTTACCTTTATAGAAGCCCGGGCAGTTTGTGAAACACACGGTTGGATTAAAGAGTTGACCAAATGGGCCGGACATTTACCCAGCGAAGTCCCTTCTACCAGACCGCGTCGGGGTCACCAATTGTCAATGTCGCGTCAATTCAAATCTGGTATCAGGAACAAAAGAGGTCAACACGACTTCTAAGGTATACTAGTTATTTTAATTAATGCAAAAACCTTCAATGGTAAATATGATGTTTCGTATATACGGGCTCTCTGATATGTCTCGCAGGACACTCCAGAGAACTAACACATTGTTTTCAGAAACAATACCCAAATACCCTGACAGAAAGTTTCCCACTTCTCTGCTGGCCAATTAGAGTAAAGACTTGAGCGTGGTTTACACTATCTCAGCCAATCCGTTGATGCAGTGGTTGCTCTCATCTCCTCGGCGCCATTTGTTACACACTTAATCCAGGCACAAGATTATCATAACAACCTGTCATAGTGAGAAGAGCCAGCTCCCTTAGACATCATTCCCATGTCAAAGGAAGACTCATAGATCACAATGAACTATTATAGTCTTGTATTTGAAGACACAATCCTTATCTTCTCTTCACATCAATCACAGCCTTGCCAGGTGTCACAGCCTACATTAGCCCAGTCAAGACTGCACTCCTTCTAAGTTAGTCATCCCATCAATCTAAGAGAATAATAAATCCCCAATATAACCCAACCCTTAAATAACCAAGGAAAGTCATACATTTAACAGAATCTCGCATATCTCTGTTTTGAAAGATACTGACATTATGACAAATTATCCTATTTACATTTTGTAGTCAATTTTGAAATAATAATAATTGGTTTTGACTAAAATCAATGCCACATAACCAGCTTTCAACCAGAGAAGTTGTTTTATTTGGTTCAGCTTCCCTTTGAGGGATAGTTTTCTTTCTGTCAAAGAATGTCAGCATTATGGGTAGGAGAAAAGCTATGATCTCTTATTGATATAATTTATTAAATTCACTTCAATCAGTGTGGATGAAGGGGAGGAGACAGGTTAAAGAAGGATTTTTAAGCCATGAGACCGTTGAGACATGGATTGTGTATGTGTGCCATTCAGAGAGTGAATGGGCAAGACACACGATTTATATATATATATATATTATATATATTTTTTAAAGGAGACCTGACCCTCCTCATAGTCCTCAAACACCTCCACTATCTGGGGCTTCTCTCTCAGGGAGAGGAGGATAGCGTGGGAGGTACAGGCTTGGTACACATTCACGTCCCTTAGGTACAAAGTCCAGAGTCCATGCTCAGGGCTCAAAATGATGTTCCCCTTCCTGTCTATGGACTCTCTGACCACTCCTAAAGTCCACTTAGGCTGTATCAAGGTCCAGAGTCACATCCACTGTATACTGCTGAATCCTCTTCAGTTTGACTCCAGGCAGCTTCTCTATCTCTTTATTCAGTGTCTCCTTCAGCTGAGAAAGAGCTCTCCTTACAGTCCCCACACACAGATCACTGTGAACACTGATCTCAGACCAGTCCTTGGTCGGTGGAGGGGTGCACACTATGAATCAGAAGCTGTGGTTTGGAGGTGGTCCTCAGTGTGTGAGAGCTGCTTCAGCTCAGTGCTTCTCCTCTTTAGCTCAGTGATTTCCTGCTCCAGTTCATTAATGAGCCCTTCAGCCTGCCTCTCTACTGCTTTCTGCTTCTCCTCAATTACCTTAACAAGCTCACCCTGGCTTTTCTTAATGGAGCGCACCAGAGCAGTGAAGACCTGCACAATCTCTTCTTTCTCTCTCTCTGCGTCTCTCTTGCTGAGATCTACTGAGAGTTTGATCCTTTTAACCTTCTTCAGTCGCTCCTGGATAATCTGCTGCACTTCTGCCTCAGTTTTCCCCAGTTGAGCCTTCCTTTCTCCACACTCTTCCTCTATAGGGACAGTGTCATGAGTATTGTGGTCTGCCTCAATACAGAACTGACACACACACGTCTGGTCAGTCCTACAGAACATCTCCACGAGTCTGTCATGCTTCTAACACATCCTGTCTTCTAGGTTCACCAAAGGGTCGATCAGTTTGTGTCTCTTTAAGGGTGGGGCTATCTGATGAGGCTCCAGGTGAGTCTCACAGTAAGAGGTCTGACACACCAGGCAGGACTTTAGGGCCTTGCGCTTCGTCCCAGTGCAGACATCACAGGGCACTATTTTAGGTTTAGGAGGGGACCCATTTCTACCTCTTTCTCTCATCTTTTTAAAATTCTCTACCACCATTCTGAACGATGTGTTGACATGAAGCTTAGGTCGTCTGGAGTATTTTTCCCGACACAGGTCCTTGCTATCCCAGTACTTTGTGACACAGGCAACGCTGAAGTTGTGTTCACATAAAGTGGTGACTCGTTGAGTGAAGACATCCAGATAGATATATTACAGGAACTGCTCTTCAGACTGGAGACTGCTGGAGGAAGTCATATCTAGACAGAGAAGGTGGAACTATAAATTATTTTGTTGAATGAGTCTGCTCTCGATAGTTTCAGTGCCATTGTCAACACGGCATTTAGAGACAGTAACCAATCTTGATTCAATTTGTTTAACTATACAACATACAGTTTAATTAGTCAATGTACAAAATAAAGTAAAAAATCGGTACTGTAGTCAAGAAAGAAAACAGGATAAAAAAATAATTCACACAGTAGAATGTATCTTCAGCTGCCCTTGTAAATCTCTACTCACCTGTGTCTGTGTGTGAAAGTGTGGGTACTTTCTCTGTCACGCCCTGGCTCTGGGACTCTTATATGTTGAGCCAGGGTGTGTAGTTTCTATGTGTTTGTGTTCTGTGGTTAAGTTCTAGTGCTTGTGTTTCTATGTTGGCCGGGGTGGTTCTCAATCAGAGGCAACGTGAATCAGCTGTTGCTTGTTGTCTCTGATTGGGAACCATACTTAGGCAGCCGTTTGGGCATTGTCATTTGTGGGATCTTGTTCCGTATGGTGTGTATTGTAACCAAGGACTTCACGTTTCGTATCGTTTGTTGTTTTGTTCTGGAATAAATAGTATGTTCACTTATCACGCTGCGCATTGGTCCACTTCCTCCGACGATCGTGATATTCTCAGGTTTTTCTCTAGTATATATATATATATATATATTATATATACTGTAGTTTAGTAAAAAAACAACAACAACAAAAACAGACGACTCTGTGTAGCTGTTTAATAGAGATTTCTGAAGAGTTTGAGAGAGTTTACTCCTGTGTGCAACATATAGCATGTCTAGCAATTTAAGTTTCACAGTGCTGCTCTGTGCTCTGGAGCAGAATTAAACCTTCACATGGCTGATCTCTCATTCTTGATACATTGTTTTACCATTTCAAAAACAAGGCACATTTTTTAAAAAGTGTTCTAATTTTGTTACTGATCAAGGTAGAAAAAGTGTGAATCAGAAATGTTAAACAAGGAATTATTGTAGATGTTTGGAAGGTTTTCCAAAAACATAAACAACAGAATTCAAATTCCACATGGGGATGAACAAATAACTCAGTCTAGGTAGATTTGACCTTGCCTGACGACTCACACGGAACTCTTTCGCCGCTCTATCGATAAGAAACAAACATTCGTGGGCGTGGCGTTTGGCCAGAGCAATGAGTCTGGGTAGCCAGCCAAGATTTGACAATTAGCAGCCAAAAATATCCCAGATTATGCCTTTAAACATATTCACCACCAGTTTGTCTAGTCAAACCAGACAATGGGTGGAGAACTAAAGCTGAATGTTTTCTGTTTGTAGGAAAATGCCTGTGATCGCTGTATGCTGAAAGCCTGCATCTGCTGCTTGTGGATACCTAAATCAAGTAAGTGTTCTATCAGAATCAGATTGATTGTAATCTGAGATGTTGGTTATTCTTACTATTACACATGTTATATAATTGACCACAATCTATTTTACAAGGGAGACTCATTCCAAGATGGCAGCAATCACACATTGTTATTGATGATACTTCTGTCTCTTGTTTGTCTGTTTTCACCACAGAACGCGTACACGGCCACAGAGATCAATAGCACCAGTTTCTGTATGTCGGCACGCGACCCCTTCGTCATCCTGGTAGAGAATGCCTGGTAGAGAATGGCCACCATCAACAACGTGGGGGACTTTGTCCTCTTCCTGGGAAAGGTAGCGGCCACATAGCGATCATGTAACAATTAACTCATTAGGAATTTGGGGCACCATTGAAGGAGTTGTTTAACTAGTTACCATCTCCCGAATTAAACTCTTAGAATATATATATATATATATATATATGCATGTTATGTACCAATAACAGTCACTTATTAATCATTACCTCATCAGTCTCATTCTGAATGTCTTATAATCCTTGAACCTGCATGAACCCTAACCTTACTTATGTATCAGCAATACACAAATTGTCTTAAATATTTACTTACTAGCTAACTAAATAATAACACAGAATACATACATACTTAATTCATGAGAAAAGTCCCTAGCGGATGAACAACAGCATGACTTGGTTATCAAAAAGGGAGGGGTCAATAGAAGGAGGGAGAGAGGGACAAAGTCAGTCAAACTTATGGTACATACATTTGGAAACTACGCTCAGGGTAATCAGAATACTTAGCACCCTTACCACCGCCGTTTGGGTAAGAAATGCAATGCATTTACGTGTAGAATGTCTTCTCCGTTGTCTCTCTGTTGAAACCAATCACTCCTATGGGGAAGGTGAAGGAATGCAATGCATTTACGTGTAGAATGTCTTCTCCGTTGTCTCTCTGTTGAAACCAATCACTCCTATGGGGAAGGTGTCGATGGGTGTAAGGCTCTGGTTTGTCCACCAGAGGTCACAATGTCCTTTGTAGAGCTTCTCTGGATGTGAAGTGGTTGTTAGACAGATACTTCAGATGTACCAATGGTTGTCTGAGATGGGATTGTCCTTGCCACCTCGTGTCTTTAGTCAAAGTTCTAGACTACTTTACATGCCAGCTGCAGACTGGTAATGCTACGGTCTAGTGAGTTTCTTCTTCTTGTGTAGAGATTGAGAGTTTCAGAGTTTCTCACCATTTCAAACATGTGGACTAACGTCTCACATTTCCTGGTCTTAGAGTTTCAACCATTTGTAACGTTCAGCTCGCGCTGTACGTCGGCTGGTCTATCTGGTCTAACAATTTAAAGCCGTGTAGCCACAGCCACAATGTTAAGGTGTCAAGACCCCTTCTCTTCTATGGGAGAGAGGGGGTCTGGCTATCTTCAAACATTTTCCTAGCTGATGGGTCCCTTTTCTCTTTTCTCCCTTTCCCACCCTCCTTTCTCTCCATATTTTCCTTCATACGTGCGTGTCCAGGAACTGATTGTCTCGTGCACTGCGTTCGCCGGCATTCTGGCGCTCAACTACCAGCAGGACTACACGGTGTGGGTGTTGCCGCTGCTCATCATCTGTCTGTTCTCCTGGCTGGTGGCCCACTGCTTCCTGTCTGTCTTTGAGATCGTGGTGGACATGCTCTTCGTCTGCTTCGCCGTGGACACCAAGCACAATGACCGCAGCCCCAGCCAAAAGTTCTACATGGACTAGGCCCTAATGGCTAGGGGAAGGGAGGCGAGGCTGGGTGGGAGACTATGGCTGCATCCCGATTCCCCACCAGTCATGGATTAAAAAGGAATGGATTGGTGTAATAATTGGCTAGAAGGAGTTTCAACCATTGTTAACTTCATGTTGTGTTCACTTTAGAAGAAGGGTGGAGAATTGGGACGTAGCCTTATATATGCCTCTGTTCCATTATCCACACTATCATTCCAATTACATCAGCACAAACATTCTTAGTGTTATGCTACTGTGGATAAAGGAACATAGCCTGTGTTTACCACTTTAATCAATTTCTTTATGGTGAATAGCGTTTATGCACATATTACACTAAGTTATACTTGCCCCCTATCATGTCAACATAGAACACACACGGTCACTCTCTCTCTCTTCTCTCTCCCTCTCTCCAGGAGTGTGTAGAGAACAATAAGAACATGTTGTGAAGGGATCGGCCCGAGACGGTCATGAGATGAAGCACATGGGGAGTTAACAAAACCATTCCAACAGAGAATACATCGTTTTTTTAGGTGTTAAGGTTGAAAATGTGGGCACTGATAAGCATTTAAATTGGAAGTCAGTGGCTGTACAGTAACATGCTATAAATGACGTCAGAGCTCAGGCTCTGCGCCTTGCAGTGCTATATGGGTTTTGACTGACAGCTGTTCTGAAGTTCAACACTGCACGCGACAAGAAGTTGCCCCCATCCCGCCCGTTTATTGGGCAACTTTTGTTTGCTTGAGTGAGGGAAATGCTGTAAATTAAGAGGACTCTATGTATTTTGAAAGATGAGACGTTGAGGATTATAAGAAATACCGCTTTGATGTCATACAAGTAAGCCAAACACCTGTGAGTCCAAATGTGTACTTCACATTTCCATATCAACAACTCATGTCATATACAATGCCAACGTTTTTGATCACTATGTGTGATGTCAAGTTACAAGATGACATGGCGTCATACCCTGGGTTGTTCTGAACAGAATGAGTCTATTTTTGTCTATTGTGAAGAACATTTGCAGCAGAACAAGCACGTGAATGTACTCATTGCTCCTTTCTATGCAGACCAAAATTACAATCTGTTTCTCCAAATTGCCTTACGAAAGCCTAACACCTCAAGATCGTTTTTTATAACCTAGCTAGTCATGCTGGCAATAGAACAAGCTTTCTTTTTGGATTGCGTAAACAACAATAGTAATTGTGTGTTGGCGGGGAATGCAGGGTTGTGTTCCAAACCAAACAACTACTAGTGTGCTTGCTCTAGTTCCTCAATGACACAGCTAGGAGAGCTCAAAAACGCACCTTATAGTTGAAGACTCTTCTTTGAGTCCTAAATGTCCATTGCCATTACTTTGGAGAGGTGTGTGGCCACTTGGAGACACCAGTTAGTCCTCTCATTCAAACCCTTGTCATTTTTTTGTATTATGTTGCACCTACCCCACATTTCCCAGGAATAGTCTTATCATTTTACTGAATGTAACAAATGAGGCGAAAAATACAGTAAATGTAAAATGCACATAAAATCACCAGTGTAATGTTTGGATTCATTCTTGTGTCAGGTGAACTGTTGTGTCCTCAACTTTGGTCTAATAATTTTCACATAATCTCCAAACTGTTCATATTTCTTCTGTAAGAAACATTTCAATTTAGCTTTATCCGTATTGGCCAATTCATCATGAAGTTAAAGGGAAAATCCACTCAACAACATTTGGTATTTTTTTCCATTCGTCCACTGTAGATACAGTTCCAACATGTTTTGCATCATCATGATGATGTGGCAGGTGACACTTTGCTTCTTGGAAGTCCAATATCTTGAAAACTTGACACCTGACATGTCAAACATTGTGGGACTGTATCAACAATGAACTAATGAAACAAATACCAAAAAATCGATGTGGAGTGGATTTTCCCTGTAACTCCATAATCTAGAACCATCCACCCAAAATGCTGATGAAGACGATAGTAAAGTTGAACACTTGTTTATTGTTGTAGACTCATGGAGGAGGGACTTCGGTTTGACCAAAACAAACCAGAAGACAGAAACCAAAAGCCATTCCAACCATTTTCTTTATTACATGTGTAATAGGTTTACCATGATATTTGTTAAATATATTGTCTTATGTTAAAGGAAAAGCATTATCATAACTGACAATCCCTATATTGTGGCAACATTGAGTCATTACTGCTTATTGAGTTTGTAATACTCTATACATAGAAAAATGATTATCTATGACAGTATCTCTATTTATGAATGCAAACAGAGTTTTAACCCGGAATATTTTTCATAAAATTTTTAGCAGAGTAATAAAACAACAAAAATAAGCAATGTCCACCTGTGTTTGTGAGAGCTGTTGTGTAAAAGAGGTTCAGATCAATGGGGACATGGGTTTGTGTCTGTATGTCATTAAGATATCCACTAAGAGGGAGAAACAATAAAATGATATATAGTGAATTCAATCTACACACAATACCCCATAATGACAAAGATAAAAACAAGTTTTTATACATATTTGCAAAGAAAATAATAAAAAAATAATAATACTGGAAATATCACATGTACATAAGTACTGTCAAATAAATTGAACACACTCCCCCCTCATATAGTTACAGTGCCTTGCAAAAGTATTCATCCCCCTTGGAATTTTTCCTATTTTGTTGCATTACTACCTGTAATTTAAATTGATTTTTATTTGGATTTCATGTAATGGACATACCAAAATAGTCCAAATTGGTGAAGTGAAATGAAAAAATAACTTGTTTCAAAAAATGCGTAAAAATAAATTACAGAAAAGTGGTGCATGCATATATATTCACCCCCTTTGCCATGAAGCCCCTAAATAAGATCTGGTGCAATCAATTACCTTCAGAAGTCACATAATTATTTAAATAAAGTCCACCTGTGTGCGATCTAATTGTCACATGATCTGTCACATGATCTCAGTATATATACACCTGTTCTGAAAGGCCTCCGAGTCTGCAACACCACTTAGCAAGGGGCACCACCAAGCAAGCGGCACCATGAAGACCAAGGAGCTCTCCAAACAGGTCATAGACAAAGTTGTGGAGAAGTACAGATCAGGGTTGGGTTATAAAAAAATATCCGAAACTTTGAACATCCCACGGAGCACCATTAAATGCATTATAAAACAATTGAAAGATTATGGCACCACAGCAAACCTGCAGAGAGGGCCGCCCACCAAAACCCACGGACCAGGCAAGGAGGGCATTAATCAGAGAGGCAACAAAGAGACCAAAGATAACCCTGAAGGAGCTGCAAAGCTCCACAGCAGAGATTGGAGTATCTGTCCATAGGACCACTTTAAGCCGTACACTCCACAGAGCTGGGCTTGACGTAAGAGTGGGCCGAAAAAATAAGCAAACACATTTGGTGTTTGCCAAAAGGCATGTGGGAGACTCCCCAAACAGATGGAAGAAAGTACTCTGTTCAGATGAGACTAAAATGGAGCTTTTTTGCCATCAAGAAAAACACTATGTCTGGAGCAAACTCAACACCTCTCATCACCCCGAGAACACCATCCCCACAGTGAAGCATGGTGGTGGCAGCATCATGCTGTGGGGATGTTTTTCATCGGCAGGGATTGGTAAACTGGTCAGAATTGAAGGAATGATGGATGGCGCTAAATACAGGGAAATTATTGAGGGAAACCTGTTTCAGTCTTCCAGAGATTTGAGACTGGGATGGAGGTTCACCTTCCATCAGGACAATGATCCTAAGCCTATTGCTAAAGCAACATTTGAGTGGTTTAAGGGGAAACATTTAAATGTCTTGGAATGGCCAGTCAAAGCCCAGACCTCGATCCAATTGAGAATCTGTGGTATGACTTAAAGATTGCTGTACACCAGCGGAACCCATCCAACTTGAAGGAGCTGGAGCAGTTTTGCCTTGAAGAATGGGCAAAAATCCCAGTGGCTAGATGTGCCAAGCTTATAGAGACATACCCAAAGAGACTTGCAGCTGTAATTTCTGCAAAAGGTGGCTCTACAAAGTATTGCCTTTGGGGGGGGGGGGGGGGGGGGGGGTGAATAGTTATAAACGCTAAAGTTTTCTGTTATTTTGTCTTATTTGTTGTTAGTTTCACAATAAAAAATATTTTGCATCTTCAAAGTGGTAGGCATGCTGTGTAAATGAAATGATACAAATCCCCCCAAAATCAATTTTCATTCCAGGTTGTAAGGCTACAAAATAGGAAAAATGCCAAGGGGGGTGAATACTTTCGCAAGACACTGTATATACAGGAAAATAAGTTTAGGCCTAACCCCAGAGAGATAGAGATATGCTGGTGGCATGCTACGACACCGACATGCATTTATTTATGTCAGATGGCTACTGCATCTGCTATACAGATATAGACCTACAGAAGAAAGGTCATTCGTTAATTTTCTATCTGAATATGTTGTATAAAGATAAGCATTATATTGTTAGATTATAGGAATAACTCTGGTAGGCCTAAAACGTCCTTCCTCACCTCAAATTCAACTGCCAGAGTCAGTGGGAGCGCCGGGGCACACTGCGTTCATATCAAAGGCCTACAGTAGGTAAAGCTTAATAATAGCCACACCTTCCCCAAACGTTTCTAAACTGTAATAGGATAATATAGAAAGTAAGTTAAGCCATTGTTTATAGGGAAAATACGTGCAGAATGGCAAATGTAAACCAGGGGATAAAACGCACCAACCTCCCCTGTGCCCCCCCCCAAAAAAACACACAACCCTCCCCAAAGCAATAAAAAAGGTTTGACAACCCTCCCATATTTTGGACCACCCCTTCCCCAGTCATTTTCAATTTGTCCCTAACAGAGTAAAGAAGATTCCATTTTCATTTGATGATGAGATTTCAGAGGACATACATGTGGTCCTCTGTAGCTCAGCTGGTAGAGCACGGCGCTTGTAACGCCAAGGTAGTGGGTTCGATCCCCGGGACCACCCATACACAAAAAAATAAAAAATGTATGCACGCATGACTGTAAGTCACTT